AAGCCGAGACTTGAACAGGACTTGTACACCAATGTTCACAGCAGAATTATTCACAAGAGTGAAAAGATGGAAACAACCCCTCTGTCCATTGGTGGCTGAATGGATAAACAAATGTGGGCCAGGCTTACAATGGAATATTATTCAGCCATAAAAGTGAATGAAATCTGACATAGGTTAAATATGGATGAATCTCAAAGAACTTATGTGAAATAAGCCAGACACAAAAGGACAAATAGTGTATGATTCCACTTATATGGATTATCTGGAGTAGTAAAATTCACAGAGACAGAAAGTAGGATCATTGCCAGGGGCTTGGGAGAAGGGAGAACGGGGAGCTTTTGTTTGATGGGTGTAAAGTTTCAGCTGGGGAAGATGAAAAAGTTCCGGAGATGGATGGTGGTGACGATTGCACATTTCGAATGTACTTAATATCACTGAGCCGTCTATGGTTAAAAGGATGCGTTTTATGCAATGTATATTTTATCACAACTTTTTTTAATTAACAAGATAAAAGATATGGGGAGAGAAATGATTGTGGTGTACATTCAGGAAAAGGTGAATTCATAAATAAGCCTGGCTGAGATTTCAAGTGTGGGTGAGAAACTAACAAGACAGATTTTGCTTAGGGTAATAAAACATTTTGTGCCTGGGGAGGTGGGGCTTAACTTGGGTGTGGGGTGGTAATAGAGAGTTAGTGGAGAAGTGGGAAGGGTCAGGGTGTTTTAGGAAAGGCTTAGCCTGCAGAGTAGAAAGACCAGAGGTGGAGGCCAACTTCAGTGCTGTGAGATGTGATGGGAGCTGAACTGTTGTGGAGATGAAGAGGACACAGAAGCATCAAGAGATGGAGTCAAAAGTCTGGCACAGTGGCTCACGCCTGTAATCCCAGCACTTTGGGAGGCTGAGGCAGGAGGATCAGTTTAGTCCAGGAGTTCAAGACCAGCCTGGGCTACATGGCAAAACCCTGTTTCTACAAAAAGTACAAAACTTAGCCTGATGTAGTGACATGCACCTGTGGTCCCAGCTACTCAGGAGGCTGAGGTGGAAGGATCACTTGAGCCAGAGAGGTGGAGGCTGCAGTGAGTCCAGATTGCACCACTGCACTCCAGCCTGGGTGACAGAGGGAGGTCCTATCTCAAAACACACACACACACACACACACACACACACACACACACACACACGAGATGAAGTCAAATAAACAGGACTGCGTGCCTATTGATTTGAGCCAGATCAGTTGAGGGCGAGTGGGAAACTGAGAATGGGTGGTGTGGTTTGGGTGGCTATAGTGGCCACCAGCCACAAATAAGGATCTTCAGGAAGAAGAATGTGCTCTGTAGGGAAGAAAACAAAATTGGGCCAGGTGCGGTGGCTCACACCTGTAATCTCAACACTTGCAGAGTCCGAGGCGGGCAGATCACAAGGTCAGGAAATCAAGACCATCCTGGCTAACACCATGAAACCCCGTCTCTACTAAAAATACAAAAAATTATCCGGGCGTGGTGACATATGCCTGTAATCCTAGCTACTCAAGAGGCTGAGGCAGGAAAATCAATGGAACAGGAGGCAGAGGTTGCAGTGAGCCGAGATCTCACCACTGCACTCCAGCCTGGGTGACAGAGCAAGATTCCGTCTCAAAAAAAGAGAAAAAGTCGATCGGAGACCTTTTTAATAATATGTACATGTATTTAGTGCCATGTGATATATATGCCTCTTATTTGTATCATTTTATTTCGCTTGTGTTGTTCTTGTCTCTAAGTTAGATTTTTGGGCCCATAGAGCTGGTGCATTTGTTCATTTATTCATTCAATAAGCATTTATTGAGCACCCTCTCTTTGCTTATCTGACACTTATGCAATCCTTAACTACACTCCAGCCCTGTACCAAGAAAGGACAGTGATCTGGGCATGAATTCAGGTCTTTTCACCAGGCAATGGCTTCCCCCACCAAAGGACAGAAAGTAAAGTGTATACCATGGCTCTCTATGCTTGAATCTTAATTAAATTCTCACAGCAACCCGATGTGATCAGTACTACTGTTTTTAGGGGAGCAATGAGAGGGAGGGATTGCAAAAAGATAAGGAGATGCTTTGAGAATGTTGGATATGTTTATGGTGATTGTGATCACTGTTTAACAGGTATATGCATAGCTTAAATCTGACCAAATGGAACATTTTAACTTGTACAGTTCATGGCATGGTAAGTATACCTCATTAAAACTTTTATAAAAGTATTGGTTGACAGCAACAAAGTAGCTTTTGGTGAGGTATCATTTGCTGAGGAGAAATCAGTTAATTTCGTTTTGAAAAACAGAAATCTGTCTCCTTTTTTTTCTTTTTCTTTTTTTTTTGGAGGGGGGAACTAGGTCTCACTCTGTTGCCCAGGCTGGAGTGCAGTGCTGAGATCACAGCTCACTGCAGCCTCAACCTCCTGGGCTCAAGTGATCCTCCCACCTCAGCCTTCTGAGTAGCTGAGACCACAGGTGCACGCCATCACACCTGGTTAATTTAAACAAAAAGAATTTTTTTTTTTTTGGTGGAGATGGGGTTTCTTCATGTTGCCCAGGTTGGTCTGGAACTCCTGGGTTGAAGAGGGATACCCACCTTGGCCTCCCCAGAGTGCTGGGATTACAGGTGAGAGCCATTGAACCCAGCCCTTATTCTTCTTTTCACTTCAGCCACTGTTCCCCTACCCACTTCTTTTTCTTTGCTGGCTTCTTTTCTCCCAACCTCTCCAGAATTTCTTTGGTTCAAATAGAGTTTGGTTTTTGTTTGTTGTTTCAGGTATAAGTTTAATTTCCATCTGGTCAAAATCACCCTTTTAAGTGGATAGTTCTGTATATAAACACCATCACCATCAAGATAGAGGACATTTCCATTATATCCCAAATTCCCTTATAACCCTTTGGAGTTAATCCCCAACTCCTGGCAATTACTGATGGATTTTCTATCCCTATGGTTTTGGCTTTTCCAGAACATCATATAAATGGAGTCTGCTTCTTTCACGTGGCACAAGCTTTCTCACCCTGGCGCTATTGAGATTGTGGGCTAGATCATTCTTTCCTGTGCACTATAGAATGTTTAGCAGCATCTCTGGTATCTACCCACTAGATTCCAGTAACACCTCTCTCCTTAGCAGTCACAACCACAAATGTCTTCAGGTCCCCCAGGCCAAACCACTCCTGATTGAGGACCACTGACCTAGCTTAATGCATTTGAGAGCATCCGCGTTGGTGCGTGTACTCAGTTTCATCCTTTTACTTACACAATCCTTTTTACTTAATCACAGGTACCCCATACCTGCAAAATACTATAATTCAAAGTAAGCCCCAAAGAACCAAATAGACACAGAGCAAAAGCACGGTTGGAATAGGTTTCTCTGGTGTAAGGAATAAACAGGTAAGAAGACGGCAGGTTTATTTGCCTCTGGGATCGATTCTTGCCCAGATGGAACTTGAATGATGGAGTTAACCACTCTTAATCCGAGTAGAAAGCAGTGGCCAAACTATCTCATGCTACAGAGCTTCCCTTAAAGTATCCACACTCAACAACACTCTGGGGCCAACAACCGAAAAGGCAGCAGAATGTGGATGACTACTGATATGGTTTGGCTGTGTCCCCACCCAAATCTCATCTTGAATTGTAGCTCCCATAATCCCCATGTGTTGTGGGAGGTGCCCCATGGGAGATAATTGAATCACAAGGGCAGTTTTTTCCATACTGATCTCGTGGTAGTGAATAAGTCTCAGAAGATTTGATGGTTCCATAAGAGGTTTCCACTTTTGCTTGACTCTCATTCTCTTTTGCCTGCTGCCATATAAGACGTCCCTTTGCTCTACCTTGATCTTTTGCCATGGTTGTGAGGCCCTCCCAGCCATGTGGAACTGTGAGCCCATTAAACTGCTTTCCTTTATAAATTATCCAGTCTCGAGTATTTTTTTTTTTTTTAATGGAGTCTTGCTCTGTCACCAGGGTGGAGTGCAATGGTACGATCCTGGCTCGCTGCAACCTCTGCCTCCTGAGTTCAACTGATTCTCTTGCCTCAACCTCCTGAGTAGCTGGGACTAGAGTTGTGGGCCAGGCTGGGACTACAGTTGGATGCCACCACGCCCGGCTAATTATTTTTTTTCTGAAACAGAGTTTCTCTCTTGTTGCCCAGGCCGGAGTGCAATGGCGCGATTTCAAGTCACCACAACCTCCGCCTCCTGGGTTCAAGCGATTCTTCTGCCTCAGCCTCCCAAGTATCTGGGATTACAGGGGCCCACCACCACTCCTGGCTAATGTGTTTGTATTTTTAGAAGAGATGGGGATTCTCCATATTGATCGACTGGTCTTGAACTCCTGACCTCAGGTAATCCGCCCAGCTCAGCCTCCCAAAGTGCTGTAATTACAGGCGTGAGCCATCACACCCAGCCTCAGGTATGTCTTTATCAGCAGTGTGAGAACAGACTAATACAACCATGAAGGGCAATGCCACTCACTGATGGGCAGGATGAGCTTCTCAGTCTCTCTCTTGCTGTTGGATGTATAAAATATGGATTATAATGCTAATTAGACAGTTAATGTGACTATGAGGGAGTGCTAGGAAGTGAAGGAAAAAACAAGTGACTGGGGCGGACACAGCCATCGCACCACTCTGGGGTTTCCCCTGTTGGCTTGTTGGGTCATTTGTGCATTCATGTTGTCTGTCCACTTACCGGCCTGCACCCACTTAACTGTGAGTGGCCACACATCTGCCCTGTGCCGTGAGCAGCCGCCAGTGCACGGGATGAGGTAGGGCTTTCTTCAGGGAAATGTTCTCCAAACCTCTGGAAGAGGTGGTAAGCTAAAAACCCCATGCACTTGGCCAGACAGTGCATTTGGGATTTGTGCTGATTGCATGGGGGCCTTGAAGTTTCGACTTGGAGCAGAAACTCTTAGGGAAAGCTTGAGAGGAACTGCCCTTTCCACTTTCTTTTTGGGAAACACTGTTTACAATAATAACAACAATCACATGATTTACAAAGCTGCATTTATTGACTGGCTGAGTAAATAAGCGAATAAATTTAGCACACAGCTGGCCCAAAGCAAAACTGGGAAAGAGACAAAGCTGGCCCTGAGTGCTTCCAGACTATTTTCAGGAGCCCTTTTCTTGTGTTTTAATGAACTTAAATATTTATTAAGTAATGACCATGCTGCAGGCCCTCTGCCGGGTAGCAAGAGTTCAGGGATGTCAAACATTCTTCCCCCGCGTGGCACGCACAGACGTGTCCTTTGATGCTGTTCGATGAACCAGCAAGTGAGGCACAGGGGCAGCCCGCGCTCCTCTCACGGTGCTCTCCCTTCTCATGTCACGTGGGTGAGACTTTCAACTCTCAGTCGCCAGATCCCAGACCAATTCATTCAACAAACATTGCATGTCAGACACTGTTCTAGGCATTGGGTAGAAAGCAGTGGACAAAAAAAAAAAAAAGAATACAAATTACTGCCCTGGTGAGAGGCCCATAATACAAAAGCAAATAAGTAAATTATACAGTAGCTCATGTGGAGACGCAAAGGTGAACCAGGAGAGTAGGAAGCCAGGGACTGGGCTGCAGTTTTCACTAGGACGGTCAGGGAAGGCCTCACATTTGCACAAATACCCAAAAGACCGTAAAGCCCATACATCTTTAGAAAGAACATTCCAAGTAGGGAAATCAGCAAATGTCAAGGTCCTGTGGTAGAAGCAGAATGTTTGAGGGCAGTGGAGAGACCTCGGAGGGGAGCAGGGAGGTCTATGAAATCTATTTATGGGGTGCTGGATGTGGAGACCTGCAGACCGTGGCGGGGACAGTGATTTCCTTCTGTGTGACAGTGGCTTCATTCCATGTGTGATGGTATGCCACTGGAACCTTTTGCACGGAGAAATGACAAAATGTGACAGAGGTTAATAGCCATGCACTCTGGCTGCTGCCTTGAGAATAACCTATGGGGGACAAAGCGAGATGACATTAAGATGCTCTTGAAGCAGTTCAGGTGGGATAGGTGGTGGCTTTGACCAGGGGAAGGGATGAGAAATAATTGGACTTTACATATATTTTTAGAAAGAGCCATTGGATTCATTGACAAATCAACAGATCTGTGGGAAAGAAAGAGAAGAATCAACATAACAAAGCTTTTGTCTGGGCAACTGGAAAAGATAGAATTTCCACTTCCTGAGCTGGAGAAGACTATGGGAGAAGATCAGAGTGAAGAATCAGGAGTTTCTTTCTTTTTAGTTTTCATTACTTTTAGAACTTATTTTAGAGACGTGGTCTCTTTCTGTCACCCAGGCTGGAGTGCAGTGATGTAATCACTGCTCGCTGCAGCCTCAACCTCCTGGGCTCGAGTGATCCTCCCACTTCAGCTTCCCAAGTAGCTAGGACTACAGGCATGAACCACCATGCCTGGCTTTGTATTTTTTTTTGTAGAGATAGGGTCTTGCTATGATGTTCAGGCTGGTCTCAAACTCCTGGCCTCAAGTGATCTTTCTGCCTTGGCCTCCCAAACCTTGGGATTACAGGTATGCACCACCATGCCCAGCCTGGAGTTTCATTTTTGGACACATGAAGGTTGTGATACCTATTAGTGCCAGGTTGTCATGCTGAGTGGACAGCTGGCATAAGAGTCCACAGTTCAGAGAAAAGGTCTGGGTGCAGATAGGGAATGGGGAGTCTTGGCAGGCACACAGATAGCCAGAGCACGGATGAGATCTCAAAGGAGGGAGTGTGAACAGAGGAAAGACGAGCTTTTGGACTCAACACTGGAACATGCCAACATCTGGAGTTGAAGGAGACTGAGAGGGAGCATTCAAGGATATGAGAAGAAGAAACCAAGAAAACCTGAGTTTTCTTGGAATTCAAGAGAAGAAAGGGATTCAAGAAGGAGGGAGTGAGGGATGATGTTAAATGCTACTGATGGGTCAAGTAAGATGACATCTAAAAACTGGCCATTGGGTTTAGCATCATTAAAATCACTGGGGACCTTGACAAGAGTAATTTGTGAGGAGGTGAGGACAAATACCTGCATGGAATAAGCTCAAGAGAGAAGGGGAGGAGAAGAGCAGGAGATAGACAACAGTTGAGAGAAGTTCTGCTGTGAACAGAAGCAGAAGAAATGTATGGAAAGAGAGTTGTGTTTAAAAGACGGCAGAAGTTCCCGCATGTTCCAGCACTGCTGAGAGTCCTTGGAAGAGAAACAGAGATGATTCAGGTGTTGAATTTGTAAAGGGCTCAATTTAAGGCTATGCAGGTAATGTAAAACGATTATGTAGATTAGGTTGCGACATGGAGATATTTATGGTACAATGTCCTGCAGTAAAACACACACACAGAACAAACAAAATGAAATGCACATATAAATGGAAGCATGTAAAATTATACAAGCACTTGACCAAATACTCAAGGGAAACATGGTGTAATAATAGTTGCTCTGGAAAGCGGTGATGATGAGTATTTATTTCTCCTTCCATTCCTAATCATACTGTAATACTGCTTTCTTAATATTACAAAATGTTTTCTAAATAAAATTGCATTGACATTTGCAGCCTTGTACCATATGAACATGGCCATGAGAAGAAAGACTTTGTGCAGGTGAAATTTATAATGGATTCTTAAATTGATCTGTTTGATTTGTTCATTCATTCTGCAAGTGTTTGCTGAGCACCTACTGTGCACAGACACCAGGAATAAAGTGGTGAACAAGGCAGCTGAAGGCCCAGCTATTGAAAATAGACCTGGTTTTCTGAGAACATGAGGCAGTCTCATCAGACTTAAAAGACAGTGACTGGGAGAGCCAGGAGGACATTCATTTCCTAGAAACAGCATTCCTCATTTCCCGCAGCTCTGCTACTCACATTTGCCCTTCAAGTTCAGTAAGCCTTGACCCAGAATTAGAGAATCGCCACCCATCACCTCTAAGGACCATTTATTTGCAATGGCTAATCTCTCTGCCTTCCCCAACCTCTCCCTTTTCTCCAAATCCATAATGCTGGTAACATTCTACAGGGTTGGCCTGGCTTGGCTATGAGTTGTGCGCTGGCTGTCATCCACACTCCCATCTACAATGCAGCTTTGTGTGCACATGGAAAGTTCCTTTCCCAAGGCTGTGCCCAGTGCCAAAGTTTGTATTCTCAACAGCAATGCTCAATTGTCTCCATATCCCAGGTGATATCACCTCCAGGGGCTATCCTCTAGTATGCTGCCTCTTCTAATAACAATAGCAGTCTTCGGAAAACAGTATGGAAGCATGAAACAGCACACTGCTTATGATTATTTTTAGATAGTCCCTAAACTGAAATCTAGGGGCAACTCACCAGAAGATGGTACTCTTTCCTACTCAAAGATATAAGAAAGCTTAGAAGTAACAGTTTATTCAATCTTTCTAGGACAATAAGAAATAGCACCAAGACAAGAATAAAATGCTGTTCATATAGGTTAAAAGACAACATGGTAGGGGAAAGATATGGACTTTGGTATTAAATAGACCTGCCTTAACATCTTTATCTGACTGCTTCTTTGCTGTGTAAGCTAGAGCCAGTCACAGAAATATGCACCTCAATTTTCTCACCTGAAAATGAGAATCAGGCCTACTTGCAGGGTTTTCATCAGAAGTAAGGAATTAGGTATAAAGTGTGTGACACGTCAAAGGTGCTTAATCAGTGACCATTTTTATCATTTCTTGTACACTCTGGCAGAGGTTGTGGTAGTAATGACTGAGCACATATTTGTGTGCATATATGTATGCATGCATGCATGTGTGTTTGAATGTGTGGTCCCAGCTCGAACCCATCAGGGATTTATCCATGTATGACTGCACGTGTCTGGTAAAGGGGAGGTGAACATCCAGGAGTGGATTTGCAGGGAGGCATGCTGGTGGAAGGAGGATGTGGGAATGGTTTGGTCAGATGCTTCCAGATGGGGGAATGGGGAGTCAGCTTTGGACAGTGCTCCTTGACTTGGTCTCAAAGATAGTGCCTGAGGAGGGGCTGTAGGAAGGAGCTAAATGAATTATTTTTATAAAGGACTGTGATAAAAAGAATGGCAGAGTGGAAAAGGCATCTCTCCCCTTCTGAGAGGGCTAGTGAGGTTCAATCTTAAGGAAGATGTGGGAGTGTTGAGTACCATGTTGGCACATCAGTGGTTTCAGCATCAGGGTGGCAGAAGACAGCAGCCTCGGCAGAGCAGCATTCTCAGGGTTGTAGACACCCCTTCTCAATGGCTTTTGGATGTTAACCTCAAAGGTTTTTCTTGTGCTTATAAGAAATATTCACGGTGATGCACAGAAATTACCAACGGGACTGTGTGGGGAACAGAGTCTTACTTGATCAAGCAGGGGTAATATTTGGGTTATTACTGTGAATGTGCTCCGTGGGCTGGTCCTGGGCCTCTCTACCCCAGATCCATTCCTTGAATTGCCCCTACTCTGTATTACAGGATGTACCCTTTGGCTCTCTGCCCTTCCATCACTGCATAAACCATTCCCTTTGTTGTAAAACCTGGAAATGATGTCTGTTTTTCCATTTAGGCTCTGTGGCCATACTACCATCTTTCCCATAGGCTGGGGAGGCCTGGGGAGTCTCAGGTCATATTGATTTGGATATAAATGTAAATATGGAGGAAGAGGAAGGAAGAAGACACTGTTATAAATTTTATGAGAAAATGATTCGCACTAGAGTTATTCAGGTCTTACTAATCCCAGTGTCTCCCTATCCCAGCATCCCCAGGACATGGCTGGCTTGTTCCAAAACTCAACAAGATGATTCTCTGGTCTTTTTTCCTCAGCTTGAGCTCATAACTCTGACCCGCATGGTTTGCATCCCACTGAGCTTAGGGTGTCCAATTCCATTTAAGATTTACTTCCCTCATAGGTTAGCCATTACAGTGATAGCTTCTAACCCAGCCAGGGCTCCCTCCTGTATCTATTCTTGTGTAGTCCCCACTCACATTGACTTGGAGCTTGTAAGATTTGCTTTTGCAATAAATGTCCCATGCACTGTGCATCAGGGGAATAGAACAAAGTGTGGTCCTTACCTGAGGGTGAAGGGCAGGAGACAAGACTTGAAACAGCATTGAGAGGTCAGCCTTTCCCTCTTTCTTGCTGCTTTTAGAACCCAGACACCACGTAAAGAAGCCAAGTCAGGTCTCTAGAGACACATGGCCCAGCTAACAACCAGCATGTTGCTAGAGAAATAAAGCCATCTTAGACTAACCCCATTTTGAGCTTTCAAGTGACTGCAGCCCTAAGAATGACACCCCAGGGGAGATGAACAGAAGAACCACCCAGCTGAGCTCAAACCTAATCACTGACCTACAGAACTTTGAGCATATAAAATGGGTGTTTTCAGCCACATAGTTTAGAAGCAGTTAGTTATGCTGCAAAGGATAATTCACAGAATTCTCTTTCTACTTTCTCTCCTTTTCTACAAGTTATCAGTACCTTCTTCCTACTAACCAACCCTTCTAAAAGACAGTGCCCTCCGCCCCTCTCCTCTCACAGTTACCTCAACTGACCTTTCACCAAGGTAAGAAAAACTTACCCTCCACTCAGAGCATGGGTTCCATCAGCAAAGACACAATGACTGTCCCTGTACTGCTTGCTCTCAAGAGTTAAGACTTGACTTCATTGCATGTAAATTTTTTTTTGAAAAAAAAAAAAAAGTGGTTTTGCTTCCAAATGATATTCCAAAGCTCTCTGGCTCACCAAGGAGTAATCCCTCAGTTGGAAAGCGTAGCAGCTATGCTATTTTAGAACGGCACCAGGCCTCTGGCTTCTTGATTCACCCAGGGCTGCTAATGCTTCTTCGGGGAAAACTAAAACAACTGCTTAAGATATAAGGACTTACTCCTAATGGGGCCTTCAGAAGAGAAGGGCCCTCTCCCTTATGTCCATTCTTCCCCTTTCTACCGAACCCTGTGCTCCCCAGCCAAAGATGGGACTTCTTGTTCCTGAGCAACCAAACTTCGAACCTGCTTAAGTGCAGGCCCATCTGTCATCTGTGACCCCATGGCCGCCACCACACTTGTCCTAATTGTTCTCTGATGAAGGCTGAGCCTAAGCCTATGTAACACTGCAAAAATGCACGGCTGGCTGACCAAACATTAACAAGAGAGACAGCTATGAAAAAACAATATGCCTGTTTGCTCAACCTCCCTTTCTGCCGGCAGACTAATTCTGGAAACTTTCCCACTCTCTGAGAGAAGAGGTGCTTGCTAATCCAGCCAAGTGTCAAAATGGATGGTGTTTGAACAGCTTCCTCTAGCTAGAGTTGTTTTTCAGATGGTCCCTTGGCAGAAACTCTTGTGGGTTCTGTGCAGAAAACTTCTCCCCTGGACCCAGTAAAGGGGGCAGTTAGGGGAGGGTTCACTTCCTAAGGTAATAATTGCCTTATATCAGGCACTGCTCTTCCCCAAGAGATTGGCTGGGGCAAAGGTCACTCTTGATACACAGAGGCTGAGCTGAGGAGGCTGCCTTGGGCACTGAAGGCAACTCATCTGCAATGAGGAAAGGCACTTGGATTTGAGAGTGGAATCAATAGATTCAGAGGCCAAGCTACGGGATGGATACCAGCTGTGACCACCTCTCTGGAAATGCACTCAGGATCCAAGATACCTAGGCCTCACCAAGGTGGGTCAAAGAATTCTCATGATGACAGGAATAGGCCTGGCATGGTTTGCTTCTCCCCGGCCACCTACAAGCTCCAGGAGTATTCCCTCCTGGTCCCCCTTCTCCAGGGAAACCTTCCCTGTCACATTCCCAGGGAGATCAGTCCCTATAATCTGTTTATCCATTTAGTCTTTCCCTCCTCTGGGCTCCACTGTATTAGGCACATTCTCCCATCTTGTACTTCTGCCCGTGATGACACTTATGTGTGTCAGGGTTATCTCTTGCTGAGGAACTCTGGCCTCCTACAGAGAAGGGACACATCTTATTTATTCAATATCCCCTGAGAACCAATGCAATGTGTGTACTTAGTGGGCACTGAGGAAATGCTTCCTGTGTGGGTGAACAGTCCTCATTTTCCACTGAACTCAGAGCAGGTAAGAGTGTGCAAGTTTGGTCAGGCACGGTGGCTCATGCCTGTAATACCAGCACTTTGGGGGAGGCTGAGGCACATGGATCATGAGGTGAGGAGTTCAAGACCAGACTGGCCATCATGGTGAAACCTCATCTCTACTAAAAATACAAAAATTAGCCAAGTGTGGTGACAGATACCTGTAATCCCAGTTACTCGGGAGGCTAAGGCAGGAGAATCACTTGAAACTGGAAGGCAGAAGTTGCAGTGAGCCAAGATCAGGTTACTCCACTCCAGCCTGGGCAAAAGAACAAAACTCTGTCTCAAAAAAAAAAATGTGTAAGATCACCTAGTAGGTGGGTGCCCGAGCCTGGATTTAGACTCAAGTTTGTCTGAGTCTGAAGTTTGTGTCAGCTCCACTCCTCCACCTTTCCTCTCCAGTTACTCAGCCCTCCCTACACACGAACACGCACACACAGACCACAGAAGAGCATGGATGAAATCATATAGCATGTCAGAGACAGAGATGACCTAAGACATTATGGAAACCAACTCATTTATTTAACGAAGGAGGAAACTGAGGCCAAAGAAATTCAATTTGGGTCAAAGCGATGTGCTCTGGCCTTTGGGCCTACTTGAAAACTGGATCTAGGGCTATTCCTGTTGATAATTATATTTGATTTTATTATTATTTTTTGAGAGCGAGTCTCACTCTGTAGCCCAGGCTGGAATTCAGTGGCACCATCTCGGCTCATTGCAACTTCCATCTCCTAGGTTCAAGTGATTCTCCTGCCTCAGCCTCTTGAGTAGCTGGGATTACAGGGGCCTGCCACCACGCCTGGCTAATTTTTTTGGTAGAGACGGGGTTTCACCATGTTGGTCAGGCTGGTCTTGAACTCCCGACCTCAGGGGATTCACCCACTTAGGCCTCCCAAAGTACTAGGATTGCACGCCTGACCCATCATGCCCGGCCTCATATTTTGATTTAATTTAACCCACAACTGTACAGAAGATATGTAGCTGAGTGAGTGATTCCCAGCCTAGTTGGGTGATAAATACAGACATATCTAAATACAAGGCAGGATGTGAGAGAGTCAGAGTGGTGTAGGCATTCGAGGAGAGAGAAGTCCCATCTGACTTAGTAAACTCAAGAAAGATTTCTCATAGGAGATGATCCTGAGATAAGCCTTGGAAAAGGGCTGGATGATAGAAAATTCAGGCAGGGGCATAGCAGGGTAATGGCATGGAGGTGTGAAAATATGTGCTGTGCATCTGGGGAATGAGACAAAGCGTGGTCCTTACCTGAAGGTGCAGGACTGGAGACGAGGCTGCAGGGTGGGCTGGGGTGTGCCAGGGAGCGATGAGAGCAGAGATGCATACCTGGAGCTTTAACAGAACAGTAAGAGAAAGAAGAAAAGCTAAGTGATTTGGACTCAATGAGAACAGAGTTCTTTAAACTGCAAGAGAGAGGTAGAGGGTGTAAAGTCTGACAGCCCCATGAATGGCATGGTAACCTCTGTGACCTGCACGTACACCCCAGATGAGTTTCTGGAAGAAATGATTAACCCCTGTGATGCCTAATTAACATGAGACATTCTTATATTGTTTCTTATTCCAGCCTCAATTGACAAGGCTGTTGGACTTTGTTATGACCTTGGCCAACCTCATGACTCCACACCCTACAACCCCTCCCAGCTTGCAAACCTACAGCCCCCCCGCCCCCCGCCAGCTTGCAAACCTACAACCCCCTCCCAGCTTGCAAAACTATGACCACCTCCCAGCTTGCAAATAATTGCCCTAAACTGTAACTTCTGTAACTTTCTACTGCCTTCCCCACAACCTATAAAACCAACTCCTATCCCTTCCCCCTCCACTGACTCTCTTTTTGGACTCAACCTGCCCGCACCCAAGTGAATAAGCAGCCTTGTTGCTCACACAAAGCCTGTTTGGGTGGGTGGTTCTTCATTCAGAGTGCTTTTTAACAGGGGGATCCCATTTTAAGGCAGTAACATGCTTTCTCTTCCGGTTCCCACTCTCCCTGTTTCTCCCTTGATGTCCATCTGGGTATAGCTGGAGGAGTGGGGACATGCTGGGGAGAGGGGAAACTGTGTGGGCAGATTCAACTTGAGGAATCCCAAGAGAGACCCAGGCAATGCTTAGCTTCGGTCATTCAAAATAAGGTTATACAGAAAGTTACTGCCTGAGGAGCCAGACCATTGTTCTGAGAAGGGATTTTTCAAATTGTTTTTCCTCTTTTCTTGGTATTTCAAGATGAATCCTAAAGCACCGAACTCGGGATTTCCAAAATACACAGCTCAGGGCCAAAGCCAGTCACTGAGGGCTCAGGGCTCAACGAGGAAACGTGGAGAGAAAGAAGTCAAGGGAAAGCCCATCATGCTCTTTCTGTACCTGGGAATCTTTAAAAAGGAGAAAGAAGTGGACTGGCTGAGAATAGCCAAGCCATCAACAGAGTTGATGGAAGATGTGGCTTTCCCATCTCTTGGTCCACAGAAGGACAGTGTTAGAGGCATGAATGTCATTCTTCAGGACTCTGAGAGGAAGCCACTTCATGAGTTGCCCCTAAGAACCCAGTCTGCAGTTCCAAAAAAGAGCTCTGTGTGGTCAGCCTGGGGGGCTTCTTCCCAGGGCTCCCCTCAGTCCCACAAGGCACAGATGCTGAGTTGAGAACCAGTGGACCCACCAATGGGCTTGCTGTTATGAGACACGCCCAAGGGCTGGACCTTCTTATGAACAGACTGGAGAGTCATTGTGGGGTATGGGGAGAGCTCTGAGGCTGCAGCCCACCCGAGGCACTGCCTGGCCTGGAAGAACGGGCCACACATTCAGTACTGGAGGCCAGGAAGTCCAGCATAATCCAGGCCGCCTCCCCAAAGGACAAAAGGACGTCTCCCCAAACACCAGCAGACAGCAGCTGGCATACATAGAGGGACCTTCATGGGACCAAGGAACCCACTTCCCTGCTGCCATGGCGGAGAAAGCCCCCTCGTCCCCAAACCCTTGCCTCTGCAGTGAGGGACAGAGCAAGCAGCAGCTCTCAGAGACACAGAGCGCTTTTTCTAAAGACCCAGCACTGACTGCAGGGTTTGAAACATCAACTCACAGTTTAACTGGATTGGACATTTCCTGTATCCTCCCATCCCACTAACTAGTGGGTGAGGCTCAGACGAGAGACCAGATTAGTTCTAAGCAAAACAGCGATCCTCCGTTTTCCCTTCTCATCCGAGGTGTGGTAGGAGATATATTTGTACACCGGGTGACTCTGAGTCCTGGGAGGCCCAGGGCCAGCCTGGGGAGGGCCCTGCTGCGGCAGCGGGGTGGGCTCTGCAGCTCCGCCTCCCGAGCAGGGCTCACTGCCGCAGAGTCCGGAGGGCTTGGGGCGAGGGGCCCGAGCTAGTCGTGGGGTCTCCGTTTCACCAGGGGTGGTTGGGGGCTGACCAGAATGGAGGAGAGATTCAGGAGGAGGGCGGGAGGCTGTCCCCAGAGCCCGAGGCCTGCCAGGATGGTCGGGAAGGCACGTTCACCCAGGCCCAGAGGCCGGGTTTCCCCGGCAGGGAGGAGGTCCCCTGGGACGGAGGAGGTCCCCTGGGACGACCCTTCCAGGGGAAGCCGCGGTTCCCATCACCTAAGCCCTGAGGCTGAGAGCCAAGCGGGCAGGCCTTGTGCAAGGCGCTGCTGCCCCCTCCTGGGAGGCGCCCCGCAGGTACTGCTTGCCTGGAGCACCCTCGCCTGTTACCCTCACAGTGAATCCCCCAAGGCCCGACTCTGCAGCGGCGCCCGCCTCTGCGTCTGCAAGTAAAATCACTCAGACCCAGCCCCTCTCTATGATAAATCACTAGGCCCATCCCCTCTCTGTGTTAAATCACTAGGCCCATCCCCTCTCTGTGTAAAATCACTAGGCCCATCCCCTCTCTGTATTAAATCACTAGGCCCATCCCCTCTCTGTGTTAAATCACTAGGCCCATCCCCTCTCTTTGTAAAATCACTAGGCCCATCCCCTCTCTGTGTTAAATCACTAGGCCCATCCCCTCTCTTTGTAAAATCACTAGGCCCATCCCCTCTCTGTGTAAAATCACTAGGCCCATCCCCTCTCTCTCTAAAATCACTAGGCCCATCCGCTCTCTCTGTAAAATCACTAGGCCCATCCCTCTCTGTGTTAAATTACTAGGCTCATCCCCTCTCTTTGTTAAATCACTAGGCCCATCCCCTCTCTGTGTAAAATCACTAGGCCCATCCCCCGTCTCTGTAAAATCACTAGGCCCATCCCCCGTCTCTGTAAAATCACTAGGCCCATCCCCCGTCTCTGTAAAATCACTAGGCCCATCCCCCGTCTCTGTATGTTAAATCACTAGACCCATCCCCTCTCTGTGTAAAATCACTAGGCCCATCCCCTCTCTGTGTAAAATCTCTAGGCCCATCCCCTCTCTGTTAAAATCTCTAGGCCCATCCCCTCTCTGTGTAAAATCGCTAGGCCCATCCCCTCTCTGTAAAATCACTAGGCCCATCCCCTCTCTGTGTAAAATCACTGGGCCCATCCCCTCTCTGTATGTTAAATCACTAGACCCATCCCCTCTCTGTGTAAAATCACTAGGCCCATCCCCTCTCTCTGTTAAATCACTAGGACCATCCCCTCTCTCTGTTAAATCACAAGGCCCATCCCCTCTCTCCGTAAAATCACTAGGCCCATCCCCTCTCTCTGTAAAATCACTAGGTCCATACCCTCTCTGTGTAAAATCACTATGCCCATCCCCCGCCTCTGTAAAATCACTAGGCCCATCCCCTCTCTGTATGTTAAATCACTAAATCCATCCCCTCTCTGTGTAAAATCACTAGGACCATCCCCTCTCTCTGTTAAATCACTAGGCCCATCCCCTCTCTGTGTAAAATCACTAGGCCCATCCCCCGCCTCTGTAAAATCACTAGGCCCATCCCCTGTCTCTGTAAAATCACTGGTCCCATCCCCCCTCTCTATAAAAACACTAAGCCCATCCCCTCTCTGTGTAAAATCACTAGTTCTATCCCCTCTTTGTGTAAAGTCACTCAGGCCCATTCCCTCCCCTGGGACTGCACCCCCCAAGTCTTCTCGGACCAGATCTGCAGTCTTTGTCCCTTACACAGCTGTGCTTGGTGACTAAGAGTTACCTCTGTAGGCACAGACAGGGTTGAAGGCCCTGGTTCCACTGGTGCTGGCCAGTTCCTTAACCTCGCCAAGCCTCAGGTGCTCACTGGTGAAATAAGTAGGACCTCATAGGTTGCCGCATCTTGGCACCGGGTGCCTGGCCATGTTGAGTCTCAGTAAATGGGAGCCATGATTCTCTTTCCTTCTGGCTTCATTGAATTCTCTGCCCTCTGTCCATGCAAGCTCAGGTTGGAGGCTGTCCCCACCAATTTTCCGCTTATGCCTGCTGGGCAGCTGGGCTTTCCTGCACTGCAGTGGGCGATTTTCCACACTCTGGGCACATGGCAAAGACCTGGGGCCAGCTGGGGTTCCTGACATGGACATCAAGCCTGCGTTTGCTTTCCTGGGTCTCTTGCCTTCCGTTCCCTTCCGTCTTACTTTCCTTCACTTTTCATCTCCTTATTAGTTCTGGCTACTGCGGAACTCTCTCCCACCTTCACACAAGCTTTCTTCCTGATCCCGAGTTCTAATTACTTTCCCCCACCCCTGCCCCTGCCCCCATCCAGACTCTGCCTTCCAGCCCCATCATAACCTCCAGCCGGCAGGCGCCAAGGTCCCTGATGACATCTTTACCCCTCAGCCCAATGTTCATGTAGTTGATTTTTTTGGACGGTTCTGCAGCATTTAGTGTTTTCTTTTTTAAAAACGGGGTCTCTCTCTGTTGCCCAGGCTGGAGACCAGTGGTGCGATCTTGGCTCACTGCAACCTCCATCTCCCTCCAAGGCTCTAGACATCCGCCCACCTCAACCTCCTGAGTAGCTGGGAGTACAGTGGAGCACCACCACACCCAGCTATTTGTTTGTTTGTTTTTGTTTCTGTGGAGATGGGGATTCACCATGTTGCCCAGGCTGGTCCCGAAATCCTGAGCTCCAGTGATCCTCCTGCCTTGGCCTCCCAAAGGGCTGGGATTACAGGCATGAGCCTCAGGTCTCCAGTTAGTGGAATTAACACTTCTTTGATTTCTCTCTCCTTTGAATTTCCCGGGGGCACTCCCAAGTCTCTTCTTAGGTTGTTTCAGCCTGTCTTCCTCTGGTTTCTTGCTGGCTCCTTCTGGTCCATCCGCACCAGCTTCAGGGCTCCCTCTTGGCCCTCTTTTCTTTTCATTCTCCACACTCACCTTAGCCCTGTGATCTCATCCACCCCCCACGCTCTCCAGTCCATCTCCAGCTCAGGTCCTCACTCCCTTGGTATCTGCCAGTACAGGCGAGCACCTGCCATCTCCATGTGGATGGCCCAGAGACACCGCCAAATCCACAGGTCCAAAACTGGACTCATTGTCTTTCTCCCCAAATGTTTTCTTCTACAGAAATTTGAGAGACATTTCTACCTCCTTCTTTTTTCTTTTGAGGCGGAGTCTCAATGTGTCACCCAGACTAGAGTGCAGTGGCATGATCTGGGCTCACTACGACTTCCGCCTCCTGGGTTCAAGGGATTCTCCTGCCTCAGCCTCCCAAGTAGCTGGGACTACAGGCGCCTGCCACCATGCCCAGCTAATTTCTGTATTTTTAGAAGAGACGGGGTTTCACCATGTTGGCCAGGTTAGTCTTGAACTGACCTTGTTCAAGACCTTGTGATCTGCCCGCCTCGGCCTCCTAAAGTGCTGGGATTACAGGCGTGAACCACCAATCCCGGCTCTACCTCGTTTCTCTCTCACCCACATCTCTCCCCATCCAACTGGTCTCAGCATTCTCTTGATTTCATCTTATTGCTTAGAACCTGTCTTTCACTGCCAGAGGCCTGGCACCTGTAATAACAGCAATGATTTAGTGAGCCCTTACGTGTACTGTCCTAAGCACTGTGCACACATGGCCTCATTTAATTCTTTTAGAAATGCCATGGAAATAGGAAGGAACAGGGGCATTGAGAAGTTAAGTCTTTTGTTCCAGGTCATATGGCTGATGAGTGACAAAGCCCAGATAGACCCCTAGCTCTTGCTGACCGCACAGCCCTTGGTGTTCGGCACCGTTATGCAGCATTATTTCAGGATCTCATTCCTGGCATAAATTGTCGCATCAGCTCTCATCCTAGTTTTCCTGTCTTCAGTCTTCCCCCTCGTCAGTATGGCTACGCATGAGACAGGTGTGTTTGTTGTTTCCTAAAGCTGAAATCCAATACAGAAATTCTCCTGGAACTGCGTCAGCTGCTCTCTGCAGCTCTTTAAGTAAAACCTGTCTTCTGGAGCCTCGAAAGTGCCTACTACCCTTTACCTGACCTGTTTCCTAATTAGCTTTCATGATCTGCAGGAAATTGTCCCTGGATCCCCAAGATGGGGTCAGGTGATTTATCAGTAGGACTAGATTCAGTTACATGTAACAGCAATCCCAATTAACGTGGGCTTAAAAGAGATCGTTAATCCATTCTCTTACTGTGATTGGAATAGGCCATTCGGGGTTGGTGTGGTGTCTACATCTTATCACCAACGACCCAGGGTCCTTTCTTCTTTCTGCTCCACCGTTTCTAGCATTGGCTTCTATCTTTAATGTCCCCTCATGGCTGCAAGATGACAGCTGCAGCTCTATCTCAGTGACATTCCTAGCACAGGAAGGAGTGGGGTGAAGGCAAAATGTGTGCTTTTCCGTCTTGGCTTGGCTGCTTTCATAAGCTTTCTCAGAAGTTCCACAGTGACTTCTGTTTACATGTCTTTGCTCTCTCACAAGAGAAACTGTGCTGAGCATGCTGAGTTCTAGGATCCAATCAAGAATACGATATTGCATTTAGACAGTTTTTATTTTTAGTTATATATCCTTTCACTAGCTCTTAATATGATGATTTTGTAATATCACTTTCTATAGAGAGAATAGTAAGATAATTCAAGCTTCTTTCTAACATGGCAGATTGAAATTCATTTTTAAGTTATCGAAAGTTTAAAATTTTTTTTCAACTTAGGCCAGGCGAGGTGGCTCATGCCTGTAATCCCAGCACTCTGGGAGGTCAGGGCAGGTGGATCATGAGGTCAACACATCGAGACCATCCTGGCCAACATGGTGAAACCTTGTCTCTACTAAAAATACAAAAATTAGCTAGGCATGGTGGTGGGCACCTGTAGTCCCAGCTACTTGGGAGTCTGGGCAGGAGAATCACTTGAACCCGGGAGGTGAAGGTTGCAGTGAGCTTAGATCATGCCACTGCACTCCAGCCTGGGCAACAGAGCAAGACTCTGTCTCAAAAACAAAACGAAAAAAATTTCCGCTTTACAACTCACTTTTGGTACTGGCATACAAGAGTTTAGAATTGTTGTTGACCTTGGGAAGACCTTTATGAATTTCTTTCACATATGAGCTGCAAATTTATGGTGTGTTTATAATTGTATGCACCACATTCTCAAATATATTTCTGATGGAAAAAAATCTTTCATTTCACTTGTCACTGAATATGAATGAGTCCTCTACTTACAGTTTTACATATCTGGTAAGTGGAAGAGTTTTCTACGGACTCTCTTGTGATTCCATACATCTTAAATCTTGTTTCTTCACTATCCACATATTTTTGGTGCCAGACATTGAAGAATTATTTGCATCTCCATCCAATCTCTGGTGCTGCGTGCCAGGCAAGTCAGCCTATGGATGGTAGGAGTATTTCTGGAAGCCATTCCAACATCTGTACACCCAACAATAACTGAATAACTGAGCTATACATGAAAAAGACCACAGATCACCTAATGTCGCTCATGAAATCCAGAGTAAATGCAGACCATCTCATCCTCTCACTAGTCAGATCTCCAAAATACTCATC